AACCAAGATGATGAAATGCCCAAGACTCTAACTGACATGTACACATACTTTCTTTTGATTGAGTGCAGACAGGCTAACAGAAAGTATAATGAAGATAAGACCGGTGAAAGGTGTGAGATAGATAAATGCTGGAATGAAAGAAACAAGGAAACCATTATATCTTTAGGAAAACTAGCTTTTGAAGAGCTTGTTAAAGGAAACTTTCTCTTTGATGAAGAAAACCTGACAGAGTGTGGTACTGACATCACAAAAGCTGCTGTTTTTTCTGGGATACTGACTCAGATCGAGAGAGAAGGTCCTTCACTGTACACACAGAAACTGTTTTGCTTTGTCCATTTGAGCATTCAGGAGTTCCTGGCAGCTTTCTATGTGTTTTACGTCTTCAATAACAAAAGTGAAAATCTGCTTACCCCACCCCCTTCAGTGGTTTCAGATTTGCCTCCATCCAACTTCTACAAGAAAGCAGTGGACAAAGCTTTAGATAGTAAACATGGAGACTGGGATTTGTTTCTCCGCTTCCTGCTCGGCCTCTCACTGGAGACCAATCAGAATCTTCTGAAAGAGCTGCTGATAGACAGCAAAAAAAATAACAAGGTGATCAACAAGAAGACAGCTGAGTACATCAAAAAGAAGATCAATGAAGACATCAGTGATGCAGATCAAAACCTCAATCTTTTTTACTGTTTGAATGAGCTTAATGATCACTCTCTTGTTAAAGACATCAAAGAGCAACTGCGATCAGGAAAACAGAATTTTGAAGATTACTCTGCTGGTCAGTGGTCTGCTCTGACGTTTGTGCTGTTGACGTCAGATGAGAAACTCGATGTGTTTGATCTGAAAAAGTATCAGAAATCAGAGAAAGGTCTTCTGGGAATGTTGCCAGTGGTCAAAGTCTCAAAAATTACCTTGTAAGTACTTTTGAATAATTACTTTTGTAATTCAGTGTACACAAAGTTTAACTATCTAAACAGCTTTCACAGAGAAGTAGAACTCCAGTGAGTTTAGTGGGAGATTCAGTCAATTCAGTGTCATTTATCAAGTTTGAATTTCAAACTTTCTGCTTTAACCTCCTAGGACCTGGCGTCCACATATGTGGACATTACATTTTGGGTTGTCTAGACCAAAATACCTAAATTTACTCTACAAGGGCCTGATATCCACATACAATGACATTATACTGCCACTGTTCTATCAAAATCTAAAACGAATGTCCTCATATGTTGATCTCATTTTTCTCAGAAACAAAAATGAGGTAAAAATAAAAATCTGGTAATTCTTTGTTTTTACATTCATCAGGTCCCAATCAGCCCAAATAGCAAAGAAAAATTAAAAATGCATGCCATGAAAGAGTTCGGGTCTTAGGAGGTTAATTCAGAGGGTTTAAGAACAACTTGACATTCACTATTCAGTAGTTACAAATAACTTTGTGGAAAGTCACCTATTTTCAGTAATTGGATAATTGACTGATAAGCAGTTTCATGGTCAGGTGAGTCAT